TCCTCTTTCTCCTCCTCCTCTTTCTTCTCCTTCTTTTCCTCCTCCTCTTCCTCCTCCTCCTCTTCCTCTTTCTCCTCCTCCTCCTCCTCTTTCTTCTTCTCCTCCTCCTTCTTTTTCCTTCTCCTCCTCTTCTTCCTCCTCCTCTTCCTCTTTCTCCTCCTCCTCCTTTCTCCTCCTCCTTCTTCTTTTCCTCCTCCTCCTCCTTCTCTCCCTCCTTCTCTTCCTCCTCCTCTTTCTCCTCCTCCTCCTCCTCTTCTTCCTCCTCCTCTTCCTCCTTGTCTTCCTCTTTCTCCTCCTCCTCCTCTTCCTCTTTCTCCTCTTCCTCCTCTTCCTCCTCTTTCTCCTCCTCTTTCTTCTCCTCCTCCTCCTTCTCTTCCTCCTTCTCCTCCTCCTCCTCCTCCTCCTCCTCTTCAGAGTTTCAGTTTCACAGCAGCACCAAGCAGCTTCAGTACAGAACAGTTGAGCTAAGCCACGCCCAGGCTCCTTGCTGTTTCCTTCTTGCTCACACAGCAAATACTGCTTCAGTTTCCAAACAGCCCTCAACTCTCTCACGCACTGACAGGATGCCAGCCAGATGAATACCGATGGATGTTGGTGGGCAGAGAGAGAAAAATTTTCCCCTTATTTTCCTCCCCAAAAACTAAGCCCGACCTCATTGTTTCATAGCGAAGCAGGGGTATCCAGCTAGTTCTATTAATTAACCAGTGGAACAACTTGCCTTCAGAAATTGTGGTTACTCCATCACTGGAGATTTTAAAGAAGAGATTAGACAACCATTTATTTGAAATAGTATAGGGTCTCCTGCTTGAGAAGGGGGTTGGACTAGAAGACCTCCAAGGTCTCTTCCAACTATGTACTGAAGTTGAATATTTGAATTTCCTCCCTTGGATGCAGGAATTTCCACGTCTGGAACGACTGCTGGATGAAGCGACCAGATCTGCCTTCAGGGTTCGATGGGTGGCAAGTGGTAGACGCAACCCCTCAGGAGTCCAGCAGTGGTAAGTAGGGGCTGGTGACGAAGCTCTCCTAGGAAATGGGATCTCCAACCCTTGGAAACCCTTGAGCAAGTTCTGTCAGCTTGGGAAGCCAGATTGAGATCCGATGCTCCCACGCTGCCACGACTGAGCCTGGGAAAGTGGGAGGGGGGAATTCATCGGCGTGTATCTAGTCAGACATAATAAAATCCTTTTTCTGGTTCAAGGTCGGGTTGTGTTGTGCATACTGTAAAGGAAGTTTTACTTTGAGACGGATGGTGATTGCGCCATGGGATGTGGTGGTGGGTGTAGGGGATGGATTTTGTAGTTTTTTTTACTTATTGCAAGGAAGCCTGGAACTTTCAGATTTGGGATTCCACAGTTGTGCGAGTTACTATCCAAATAAAAGGAACTTTTGAGAGGATGTCTGTCTTGGAGTTATTGCTTGGAATGGAGGTTTGTTGGAATGCTGACAGGTTCTAGACTGAAAGTGCGGAGGAATTGATGCCTCTTCTCCATTTTCCTTTCTCGCATTCACCTCCCATCTCTTCCCACAGGGATCTTCTGCTGTGGGCCCTGCTCTGTGGAGGCCATCAAGAACGGTCTGGTCTACATGAAATACGATGCTTCCTTCTGCTTTGCCGAGGTGGGTCTTCTTTTAGCGTCTGAGCAGATAGAAAAAATGTCCGCCTTAGAAGCCATATTTTACTTGGTAGCTTGGAGACTGCCGCCATCATTTAGTACCTGGGAATTTGGGGGGGGGTGTAGTAGAGAGGTGGAAGATTAGACTCAACAACGTTCTTTCTCAGAGAGTCAAGGACATGTTGCCCTGAACCTGGAGAGGAGTGTCTGGAGGAAGGTTTCAGTTAGACTGGTGGGTGCAGGGGGTGAATCTTTGAATTTCTTCCAACCAAAGTTTTTTATTTTTCAGTATAAACATACATATTTTGTGGATAGCTGTATTGACTGGGTCAAGTCTTTTTTAAACAACCGTAACAATAATAATACAAATAAGTGTGTGTAATTCTAATCTTCCAACTTCAACAATGCTAGTCTCTTTTCATAATCCCATTTATCATTTTCCCATGAATTCGTTTAAACATAAATAATATTTCTTCGCGCCCTGTAGTTGTTATCCCTAAATATGTTTGATATTTTTTTAAGAATTACTCATTATTCCACCATAACTTCAATATTCCAAATGTGTAGGATTACTAAAAACGCCAAGTATTAGCAATATTTAATCAATCCCAGGGAGTGTATCTCAAAATCCCCCACACAATTTCTAGTCCTTAATATTTTAAATTCACATTATACTTTAGCCCACTATTAATATTAATAATACAGTTTAATTGCCTAATCCTAAATTCCCATCTACTATTAGTCAGCCATCTTGATTTAGGATCTTTGAATTTCTATTGGGAATGTTCTGACCGACACTCTTTTCCAACAAATCAAACACAATCCAAAAGGAACAGAAACCTTGTAATGCTTTTAAAAAATAATTAACTGTGTTAAGCACAAGCCTTGCCAAACTGCATGAGACTTGCCAAAAGATAACAGACAAGATATAATTTGCAATAGAAGAATCTTGAAATACAAACTCAGGATACTGGAATGTCCACGAGGCTGGAGTTTCAAAACGTTTTTGCCTTCTGCAAAGTACGTTCGTTTCACAGCTGGCTTTTATCTTCTTGAAGGAAGGGCCATTACGTTGCAGGCTTACTCCCGAGTCGCCCGTGCTGTTGCAGCTGCTCTTTCCTATGAACAATCCTGCGCGCACGCACACTTGGCACAGGCTCCTCGGGAACCTCCTCATTGCTGCTGCCAGCCCCCACAATCTCTGAAGTCCACTCCCTAATGGTCCTGGCCTCTCATCTGAGTGTTCGCTCTCCTCAGCCTTCCGCACCTACTCCTGGCTAACCACAACAGGGAAGGGGAAACCCTGAACTCTCAGATTCAGGTTTCTCCAGATGTGCCAATATAACAACTCTAATCAAATGGGATTTTGAGAAAATGCTTGTTTTGGAGTTTGATTGGTTTGAAGGTTGTTAGTTGGAATGCTGACAATAGAATTCTTTATTGGCCAAGTGTGATTGGACACCCAAGAAATTTGTCTTCGGTGCATCAGCTCTCAGTGTAAATAACTGATAAACTATTATCATAGTCATCATAAATACATTCATCATGAATCATAAGACACAACATTTAATGATAGTCATAGGATACTAAATAAGCAATCAATATAAATCAGGAAACTAAATAAAACAGTATAAACCATAAAGATACAAGCAGCACGGTTATAGTCATGAGTAGAGTAGGAGATAGGTAATAGGAAGGATGAGAAGAAGAATAGTCATGCAGACTTTGTAAATAGTTGGACAGTGTTGTGGGAATTATTTGTTTAGCAGAGCGATGGCATTCAGCGAAAAACTGTCCTTGTGTCTAGTTGTGCTGGTGTGCAATGCTCTATAGCGTCATTTTGAGGGTAGAAGTTGAAACAATTTATGTCCGGGATGTGAGGGGTCTGTGGATATTTCCACAACCCTCTTTTTGACTCGTGCAGTGTACAAGCCCTTGATGGGAGGCAGGTGTGTAGGCTTAGTTGAGATTGGTTATTCCGGCAAAGTGGGGAGAAAAATCGACAGGAAGGCAGATTGGTGACGCTCTGTCTTCTCAGGTGAACAGCGACAAGGTGTATTGGCAACGCCAAGCCGACGGCACCTTCAAGATCGTCTACGTAGAAGAAAAAGCCATCGGCCACCTCATTAGCACCAAAGCCGTGGGGTCCCATCAACGGCAAGACATCACCAGCCTTTACAAGCACCCCGAAGGTAAGACAATATTCACAGAGAAGGATTGGCATAGTGGTGACAAAAGCACCGGCAGTCCTCGACTTACAGCGGTTCGTTTAGTGACCATTCAAAGTTGCAATGGCACTGGAAAAAGTAACTCATCACCATTTTTCATACTTAGGACCGTCGCGGCATCCCCAGGGTCATGATATCAAAATTCGGGTGTTGGCAACTGACTCGTACTTATGATGGTTGCAGTGTCCCAGGATCAAATTATCCCTTTTGTGACCAAAGTCAATGAGGAGACAAGTTTCACTGAACGACCGTGTCATTAACTACACAACTGCAGTGATTCACTCATTCATAAAATAGGGCAAAACTCACGCAAGAAATGTCTCTCATAACAATAGGAATTTGGGGTCAAAATTTTGGGTTAAGATCTCAGTCGTGGTCGTAAGTCGAGGACTACCTGGCTACCTAAAAACGGCGTATTTCCTCTTCTTTGGGTCTCTCTCTTCGGATTGAGGAGAGGGACCCCATTTTGAGTCCTCTATTCTTCCCATAGGATCGGAAGCTGAGCGCAAAGCAGTAGAAACTGCCGCCAAGCACGGCACCAAGGCCCACATCTACACCAACAAAGAGTGGGGAGAAGACATCTCGGTGACGGTCGACACCCAAGAAGCCTACACTGGACAGGACATCTCCTTGAGGGTCATCCTGAAGAACCGGAGTTCGATGCCTCGCAACGTCTCTCTCAATCTCTTTGTGGCAGTCATGTATTACACGGGAGTCACTGGCAGCAATTTTAAACAGGAGCAGCGGCAGGTCCAGATTCCTGCAGGAGGAGGTAACCATCTCCAGCCACCCGAGGCATGACCCGAGGTGGTTGAGAGTGTTGGAATTCATTGTTGGAATGTAATTTATTGCAAGAAGAACTAAGAACTAAGTATTCAGCCAATAGATGGCAGTGTTTACAAGTTTGGATCTATGGTAGTTGAGCAGTAAAGTGCATGGTGACTGTGCTCTTTGTTTTAATTGTGGTGCTATATATAAACAGAATTTCTACAAAAGGGCCACCTCCTTTATAGGTTTGTCAGGAAGGAATGTGCTGCAGTGCAGAATGGGCTGGGCGAAACAAGGAAAGGAAAACTTGGTATTTGTTTATCCTGAGGGTCTCTGCCTACCTGACCGCAAAATCGTCTGCCTTCCTTCTCACAGCTCAACAGGTTCCGATGGTCATCTCCTATCCTGAGTACAAGCCCCATCTGGTGGACCAAGGAGCCATGAAGCTCAGCATCTCCGGGAAAGTAACTGAAACCGGACAGGTCATCGCGAAGGAGCATACTTTCCGTCTTCGCACCCCGGATCTCACCCTGACGGTACGACACGGACTCTGGGCTGCCCTCGCCAGCCATGTCCGACAAACTAAGTTGGACGAGGATGGCGAGATCTTCTGAACCCAGAAGATTAGGATTCTCATGAGATGTTGCTTAGGGAAATTTATTCTTTCAGCTGTCCCCAAATTTGGAAATACCAGTTCTAGTCAAGACACGTGCTCTTTGGGATACATTCTACATTAGTCTTCATTTAGCAACTGACTTTAGGGATTGTTCACAGTTACAACAGTGGCAAAAAAAATAACTTCACAACCACTCTTAAGTCTTTACGACCTTCACAGGTCTGTCAAGCCAAGGAAAGCTCTAGAAAGGTCATAAGCATAATTTTAATTAGTGACCACTTTAGTTAATGACAGGTGCCAATGTAGTAGCTTAGCAAGGATGAGCTGTATTCTGTAGCTATTTAGTCAGCTGTTTGTAAACATACTACTCCTAGCGGGGGGTGCATTGTTTCCCTTTGCAAAATTAGGTGTAAATTTTTCCTTTGGATATATTTAAAACCAGAGTTTCTTTGCACCAAGGGAGCAAATATATATATAAATATATTTCTAAAATACAGGTAGTCCTCGACTTACAATTGAGCCCAACGTTTTTGCTGTTAAGTGAAACATTTGTGAAATGAGTTCTGCCTCATTTTACAACCTTTCTGGCCCTGGTTGCTAAGGGAATCGCTGCAGTGGATAAGTTACTAACCCAGTTGTTAAGTGAATCTGGCTTCCCCATAGACTTTACTTGTCAAAAGGGGATCATGTGACCCTGGGACCCTGCAACCGTCATAATTACGAGTCAATCTGAATTTTGATCATGTGACCCTGGAGATGCTGCAACAACGGTTGTAACTGTGAAAAATGGTCCTCAGTCACATTTTTTTAAAAAAACAATTTTATTGGGTTTTTTTACAAACAAACAAAACAGACAAAACAGTCCCATTTTTCTGTGCCGTTGTAACTTTGAACGGTCACTAAATGAACTGTTGTAAGTCGAGGACTGCCTGTAGGCAATGCGGTAGTCCCAACTGCAAGAAGGACCAGCATTTCTGTTGCTAAACAAGGCAGGGGTTTAGTGGATTTTCCCCCCCCCCCCCCCCCCCCCCCCACGGCTGTTCCACAAAGCAGTGCTGTCGTTAAGCGAATCGTGCAGTGGTTAAGTGAATCTGGCTTCCCCTGTTCACTTTGCTCATCGGATGCTGGTTGGGGATATTGCAAATGGGAATTACCTGACCCTGGGATGCAGCAACCATTGCAAATACATGCTAGTTGCCAGATGCCTGAATTTTGATCGTGCAATCGCGGGCATTCTGCCACGTTTGTAAGAGAGAGGAGCGGTCATAAGATGCAAACCACATTTTTCCAGGCTGTGGTGACTTCGAATGGTCGCTGAATGAATACAGGGCTACCTGTGTTCTCTTTGACAGCCTGGGGTGGGATTTAGCCAGTACGGACCAGTTCGAGGGAACCGGTTGTTACCCTGAAGTCTACATTCATTAAGCCGGTTGTTACGCCGGTTGAATCCTACCACTGCTCTTGAGGATCCGTTTGCAACCACTTAGTGCCGTTATCCTTCACTGTTTCCCATCCTCTTCTTTTATTCTCCGCAGCTGCTGGGTCCGGCCATCGTTGGACAAGAGACTCAAGTCCAGATTGTCTTCAAGAACCCCCTCCCTGTGACTTTGACCAACGCCACTTTCCACATAGAAGGATCCGGACTTTCAACCCCCAACACGATGACCGTCGGGTGAGTAGATCTGTAGGAAGCTACCCATTGCGTGTTTTCCCTCTTCCTGTGATTCGGTGTCCTCACAATCCTGCCTTCAGGATTTTGGAAGTAGGTGGACCCGCTCTTCTTTGGGGTGGCCCTTTAAATAGACACTTTTGAGGAAGATGTTTACTTTTCAGCCCAAATTCACGACCATTTCACAAATATTTTATTGCCCCATGTTCGTCCGGTGCACGGTGCTTTGGAAAGGAGAGGTCTTTGCAATCAAATATTGAACATAGAAGTAGGAATTATTCTGTCTTTTATCTAAAGGGTCTTATTCCTTGGCTAGTGATCATTAATAGCTATCAAACAGTGAAAATATATTTGGAATAATGAAAGGTGCAATTTTCAGGGGAAGGATTGAGTGAGACCACCTAATGCTTCTCACTATTGGCAATTTTAAGATGTGCGGACTTCAACTCCCAGAATTCTATGCTATGCTGTGCTGTGCTGGCTGGGGAATTCTGGGAGTTAGAGCCCGCCCATCTTAAAGGTACCAAGGTTGAAAAACACTAATTTAAAAACTATTATTTCCATCCTAAAAGGACTTCCAGGGGGGGGAAAAACGATTTTATGAAGTGTGCTTTAAAGAGGAAAAGCAGGGTGCGATTCTGTCAAAGAAAAAAAATAACCATTTCATAAAATGGGTAGAACCCAAGAGGTCATCTAGACCAAACGCCTCCTCGGGGAAGAAGCCACAAGAGCATCTTGGACAGATTTCCAAGCAGAGAATTCAGGGGAAAGTAGCAAGAACAATTGTGCATGGAAAAAAAAAATTCTGAATATCTCCTCTCGGTTCCCACTTCCATTTTCCTATTCATTAACATTCCCTCACCTTGGTACAACATTAATTTCAAGTGCGGGTAGTCCTCGACTTACGACCACAATTGTGCCCAAAATCCATGTTGCTAAGCGAGAAATTTGTTAATTGAGTTTTGGTCCATTTTACAACTTTTCTTGCCGTGTTTGTTCAATGAATCACCACAGCTGTTAACTTAGTCACATGGTTGTTAAGTGAATCACCACAGCCGTTAACTTAGTCACACAGTTGTTAAGTGAATCACCGCAGTTGTTAAATTAGCGACATGGTCGTTAAGTGAATCTGGCTTCCCCCGTTGACTTTGCTGGTCAGAAGGCCGCAAAAGGGGATCGCGTGACACACACCCCGGGACGCTGCAAACCTGTCATAAATGTGAGTCAGTGGCCAAGCATCTGAATGTAAATCAAGGGGATGCTGAAACGGTCATATGTGTTAAGCATGGTCATAAGTCACTTTTTTCAGGGCCATTGTCACCTCAAACGGTCACTAAGCGAACTGTTGTAAGCCGAGGACTCCCTGTGCATAATTTTTCCTGAGGGGGATTTGCAAACATGACCCAGAATGTCTGTTTTCACGTTGCAGGGATATCGGCCCGCATCAAACTGTTCGACTCTGCCAGAACTTCACCCCGCTGCGTGCCGGACGTCGCCAGTTGGTTGCCAGCCTGGACAGCCCACAGCTCTCTCAGGTCCATGGCGTGTTGACCATTGACGTGGCCCAGAATCCTCCGCGGGGACCGTCGGCCTCTCCAGCACCTACCCGGGGTTCTCCTGCCCGGGGTCGTGGCTCCCCTGGCCGTACACGAGGCTCCCCCGCAGCTACTTGAAGCTCCCCTGCGGTCACTCGGGCCTCCCCTGGAAGGCAGCCCGCCAACCACAGCACCCCAGCCAATGCCAACGCCAACGCCAATGCCAACACAAATGCGCGTGGAACCCCCAGCCGCCAGCCCAATCCCGGAGGAGCGCCCAATGCTCACGGGGCAGCTGCCGCCTCCAGGCCAGGGCCCACAGGGCGGCCCGTTTGAGCCAGCTCTTAGCCCCGGTGCCAAGTGTGATGTGACAACACAGCACAACTGGGTGATGAAGAGGGGGGGCCCTTGCCCGAGCCACGGAACCACAGTGGGGTGTGCCGAGCCCACAGGGCCGGTGAACAAAATGTATCTCCTGGGGGTGAACGTCAAGAGACATCTTCATCTGCCAATTTCTCTTTTCTTCATTTTTGTTCCTCTCCATCGTTTTCCCTGCATACTATTTTTTTTCCATATATAATCACCCCAATTGGGTTGCGATTTCTAGGGTCGCAATCGAAGCACCTTCTTCCTCTCACACCGTTCACCTGAGATGTGGGTCAAGGACTTGGCTGCCCCTCCTGCTCTGAGACCCCCATCGCCCCCTTCCCACTGCCCCGGGTGCGCCATCCAGCCACACTGTGCAAAGAATCCCCTCACAATACGTTTGTTACTTGACACCCCTTTTTCACCGTGAAATTTATTCCCTCCTTTAAACGCATGCTGATCTTCACTTGCGCACGCTTGCTTCCACTAATGGTGCAAAATCTCTGGAGAAGTTCGACGGAGAAGTGATAAGTTGTTGTTTTTTTCAAATTATTATTCCCTAAAATGAGTGGTGGGTCTTCTCACTTGAGCCAAAGGAAATTTCTAGGAATTTTTCCCATTGTTTTCCCGCCCTCCCGTCTCTTTGGTTGGACAAATTCAGGGGTGGGAGTTTGGGTGGGTGGGATTTTATTAGTTTTCCTTTTTTTTCAGGAATTGGATGTAAGGGCAAAGTCGAAGTCAGATTGCTGAGGAGGGTTATATGCAAAATAAATTGGCTAGCCGGGCTTCTGCCATTCATGCAATTAAAATATATGCAAATTCAAAGTATCGAGACAGCTGATCATGTAATCCTAAAGCGGAGCTGAGAAGGTTTTTTTTTAATGGCTAGCCAGATCTGTATTCTTCATTATGTTTCTATCGTACTGCATTTAACCTATATGGACCATGAATGAAGCAAAAAAAAAGAAAAAGAAAAATGGTATTTTTTTGTGTGTGTTCGTACTAATATAGGTATTTATTTGAAAATAAATGATTTTTAACTCGTAGCATGCTGTTTTAAAAATAACGCCGTGGTTTTACGCTTTTCAGGTTGTTGCTCAGAGGTGAAATTTGTGGGTTATGCATTGATCGCACATCGATGTGTGTTAGCTGCAAACAGTGGCAAGATTATTGTAGCCCAGGGTGTATAGGATCCAAATAGGATCCGAGCTGTAATGATAAATTAATATCTTTTTATAGGTAGTCCTCAACTTACAGCAATTCAGTGACCGTTTGAAGTTACAACGGCACTGAAAGAAGTGACTTACAACCATTGCAGCCTCCCCTTGGACACATGATCCAAATTCAGACGTTTGGCAACTGACTCATATTTATGACAGTTGTAGTATCCCCCGGGGTCAAATCATCCCCTTTTTGTGACCTTCTGATGAGCAAAGTCCACGGGGAAGCCAGATTCACTTAATTACCCTATTACTACCCCGTTTCCCCAAAAATACAACCTACCCTGAAAGTAAGTCCTAGCTTGATTTTTATACCTGCACCCAATATAAGCCCTACCCACCCCCCCACCCCAAAATAAGCCCTAATTAAGATCCCGCTCACTCCAGAGTGCACGGGTAAAAGTTAAGCTAGGGTGGGGATGATGGGTGGTGGAGCTGCCCTACTATGTACCTTTGGACAGTTGTAGCCAGGCCTTGCACACCCCGACACCTGCCTGGCTGGCCCGTTTCTTCTGCAGCCAGCAAGGCTGGCAAAGGCTTTCCTGAAGGCCTCTGGAGCTGATAACAAAACTCAGGATTGATCCAGAGCTGTCATTGGCTGCAGAGACCTTCGGGAAAGCCTTGCCAGCTGCAGAAGAAGAACTTTCTGAAGGCCTCTGACAGCGAAAAGGAGGCCCGGGGGCGACGTGGGGGTTAGTTAATGGATGACATCCCCACAAATAGGACCTGTGCCTTTTTTGGTGGAAAAAAAAAATATATATATAAAGAGGGTCTTCTTTTCGGGAAAACACAGTAACTTAACAATTGCAGTGAGATTCTCATAACAACCATGGCAAGAAAGGTCATAAAATGGGGTGAAATTCACTTAACAACTCTCTACCTTCGCAAAGGAAATTTTGGGTTCAATTGCCATCGTAAGCCAACCCTTGTCTTTGGCAAGCTGGAGGCAGTTTTCCTCAAACCCTACATTTCTTTGGAGAACTTGCTTTGCTACTTAAAAGAATTAGAACACTTTAATAAAAGAAACTCCTACTTACTGGAAACATTACTCAAAGAGGCTCCCCTCTGCTGCCGCCATCAGAACTGAGGCACACTTTTTCAGTTTTCACTTGCCATTCTGGTCCCTTTTAATTCTTTGCTCTAATGATAAAATTCAGAATTAGGAGCCAGAATAAATACTGGCTGCGCTTTTTTATCAGAATGGCACCATAGTTGCTGGGCTACCAAACCACAAATTTGTGCAATTCTTTTTAAAGCACTTCCATCTTCCGCAAGACGTTGCATCTAAAACCTTAAGTCTATCGTACCTTCCAGTTCCCCATTTCTATGATTGCTGTACTTATTTCTAACCACTTCTTTAAAACCTTGCCAAGAAAACTGTATTCAGGCCCCACCCAAGGACTGGACACAACTGAACAGAAGAAATAAACATAATACTCACATATAAACCCACCCACGGGGGACTTCCAGCTGACGTCGCAACAAGACTAGAAGCAGCGAACAGAGCTCTCCATTCCAGCAATGGCTTCTCATCATTTATGGGCTCCGGATAGAGCTGAAAGCCACCTTGTAGGGGCGGCGAAACAAAAGAGAGGCTCCCGGTGAGGTTCCAGGGGAGAATGCAACTCCCCTGTGGAAACCCCAGACTTGCTCTCTACGCCACAATGGAGAGAAGAGCAGGCCAATATGGCCACTACAACGTTGGGACAGCTGAGGAACATCTAAGGGCAGCCCTGGAGTGGAGACTGGGAACGGTGTCTGGAGAAGGGCGAGAAGAATTCGTTTTATATGTACTTACCACAAAAAGACTATAACAGAGAAGATTGCAGAATTGTGCCAGCGGTGGATTGGAAGATAGAAGAAGAAGAATTGGGAAATATAAAGAGTTTTTAAAAACTTAAAATTTTAAAAGGAATTAAGCTGGAAGAATACCGATTTGGAATTGGTGATTGGACAGGATTTGGCATTGAAAGGCATTAATTTGAATGCTGGAAATAATTGTTCTAGAAGAGAAATAACATTTGATTTTCACAATTGCTGAAGCTAAATAAAGAAACGGAAAAAAAGTGGCTATGAAACTGGAACTAAAAGCGCTATCTGTTGCTGAAAGAAAAATCCTGTAGATCCCTCCAAACTAACAATTTCATCAAAGAAGAAATCAAAAAGGAATAAAAGAAAGACATTATAATAAGACCCCTGGAAGTTGAAATACATTATAATCAAAGAGTAAGGATACAGGCGGATATTACCCCTGGAACTATTGGTGATGGGACCGAATAACATTGGGAAATAAAGATATTGATATTTTAAAAATAAAAAAGAAGACACTGGTTCAGATAAAATAAAACTCACTGGATAATTAGAATAATAAGCGATATAAAGATGAGTGACATATGCAAAGAAATGAAGATGGACATTCAAAATATGAATGAGATGTGGGATAAAATGTTGGACATGCAATAAAATACAGAATATAGAGGAAAATTCAGAAATGGTGATGGTAAGAGAAGAAAAAGAAAGAACCAAGAAGGGAGAGAAAGAAAAACCAGTGAAATGGATCGAAAGGAACAACAAATAACAAAAGAAGAAAAAGGAAGCTGAACATGAGATATTAATGATGGATATAATAAATAAGAGGAGGGATACTGAGACTGGAATACTGATAAATGAAATTATTAGGGAAATACATAGAGGAGATCAAAAAAGGGAGGGGGCAAACTTTGAGAAATGGGAGAGAAATTATCAGAGAATGATGATAAATGGAGGAAGGATTAAGGGAAAAAGCCAAAGGATGATAGAAAATGGTAAACAAGCAAAGAAACGATGAATTAATATAAAAGAAAAGAAAGACTTGGGGACAATGGTTAAAATGGAAAAGAGGAAGACTCCACATGATGAGATATATTTGTAGTAAAACATATATAAAAGATTTTGAAGAATTGGAATTAAGAATTAGAATAACAAGGAATAATTTAAGTGTAATAGATATGAAAATAAGAACATAATAGATTAATTAAGTAAGATAGCTAAGTGTTTACATAAGATCTAAGTGATTAATAAAATATGGAAAGAAATATTATGTAGAACCTGACAGAATAGATATAACCATGTAGTAGGATAATATTTTTAATGAATTTTATATTTTGTTATTCATATATACAAGGTAACGAGGTTATAATGTTGTAAGTTTGATATTATTAACTAAAAGAAAAGTTATTTGAGTAAAAATGAATGTTAGAGGGAAGGAAATATATAAAAAAATATATGCAACAGTGACAAATGTAATAATGAGGAGATATAATAGGGGATAATATAAATTAAGATGAAATTCTGAATGCTTAATGAATGATAGGAAATTGTAAACGTGCTGAGCACAAGAATGATTAGTATATTTTTAATGAATTAAATATTCTGTTACCCACTTGTATAAGGTAATGAGGATATATTACTATAAGTTTGATAATATTGGCTAAAAGAAAATAAGATGTAAAAATGAGAAGTTAAAGGGAAGGAACCACACAGAAAACACAATCATATGTAATAGAGGCAAATGTAATAATCAAAAGGGGATTTATTAAGGGATAACTATAAATTAAGATGAAATTTTGAATGATAAATGAAATGATGCGAATAGGTTAAACTGTAAACATGTTGAACATATGATTAAGGATGGTGGGATCCGACTGGTGTAATTACCGGTTCGGTGATTTACGATTTGCACGGAAAGCGCGCATGCACGCACAAATCATAAATCGTAAATCACCGAACCGAAAGTTACACCGATCGGATCCCACCCCTGAGTGTGCGTGTGAATCGTTGTCAGTTTGCTGCCTGGACAGCTGAGCAGCGCTGTGCGTGGGTGCGCAACGGTTGAAAAAGCCTCATATTTCCTGCTTTCTCAACCGCAGCTGTGCTGCGCAAAGCAGCTAAGGTTGAAAAAGCAGGAAATAAAGATCAGGTAA